TTTAAAATTATTACTTTTATATTCTAATTAGTATAATTAAAATATATAGGGGTTGGAAGAAAATCTATAAAACAACTTAAAATCTTAAATCACAATCTTATGAATTGTATTTTATTTGTAGAGATTACTTCCCAGTACAGACGCGCATATGAAGACACATATGAAGACTGTTCAACTATGTATTTATTTATTTATTTATTTATGAATTATATTTTATCTTTATTTTTAATTTTCTTACTGCCGGAGGTCTTCCACAGAAGTTTCTCTCAACCTGACGTTGGGACAGCCTACTACCCTTTTGTATATGGGAATAGGGTTTTGTTGTTGTTGTTGGTGTAATCTTGTGAATATAATAAAAAATTGTATTTATTAAAGATTATTATAATTATATGTAATTAGATTTTGAGGTCTTCTAATTCAACGCTTTCTCATATGATTTGAACACAAAATTCAAATTACGCGCAGCTTAGCTTTGCTTGCTTCAGACTTGAGGCCTCGTCTTCGGTTCAGGGCATGCATCTAGATTATCAACCGGTTTGAATGCGTCAATTTGACGGTCCAAATCAAATTACGCTCTTCTTATTTTTTACTTGAAAAAAACAAAATTAATCAATCGATGAGGTTGTGCATTCACACTTTTAACGTTAGCGTCAACCCGTGCTTTTGTCACATCTAAATGTTGGCAAATCAAATCATTTTCATGCAAACTCAATGTTTGTTTTAATATTTAATAAACTCCTTTCTTTATGTCCGCTTTTGCTATGCTTTTGTGGTTGACCCGGAGTAGGTGTGGGTGATTAATAAGTTTAGCGGTTCGTTAGTTATTTAAATTTGATTAGGTTAAGATTCGATTAATGCTTGATTTAGATTGACTCGATTCGAAATTCGAACTCTATTCGAGATCTTAACGAGAGTCGATCAAGGATTAATCGATTCGATAAGTTCACGAGCAGTTTATTAATTTTTTTAAATAATTTTTCAATAATTATCTTTAAAAAAATTATTGTATTAAAAAAGTCCAAATAATAATTACTATTTTACTAATAGATAAAAAAAAGTTACATTATTAATTAATAATTATTACTAATTTACTGATATATTATTTTTTAATAAATAATAAATAATATTAAATTATTAATCCTAATCCGAACTTACTCGATAAATGTCCGTCAAGGATATTCTGCTAACAAATGTCCGGAACAGCTCTTGACAAGAATTTGATTTCCCAAATTTGCAGACAAGTCGATTTCGGTGTTGTTAAACGAAATGAACAAAAAACAACAAATTATTCTGTTAACAAATGTTATGTCTTAATTTTTTTTACAACAAATTGAAATCCCAAATGAATGAACCCAAGCATATATAGCTTGGATTTCCAAAGAATAAAGAATTTGTAACAATGAACGAGAAGAAAAATTCAAAAAGATCTCTTGATGTTCTTGAAATCCAGAGAATCAATACACTCCAATCCAGGTCTGTAAGGATTCAACAACTTCAAAAGCTCAGTTGCTTTCTCCTTGGTTTCACCGCTGCACCCAACTTGTATGAGCAACAAAAGCTTTTGAAATGCACCAACTTGAAGAGCTTCCATCAATACTTTTTCTTCACATTTGCTTAGCTTCCATATGGCCGAAACAGAGTACTCGGTTGCCAGTTCCGAAACACGCAATATCTTTTTGACAAGAACCGGCATTGCCAGAGAGTTATCGTAAGCAAATTCCCTCCCTCGTTTGGTTTCGCAGAGTTTGTCTATAACACCTAAAGCCCTCTCGCAGTAGCTCTTTTCGGATTCGATTATGGATTCTAATAGTAAAGAGACGAGACCCATTTCGACAAATTCAGCCTTGGTTTTCTCGTTTGGTGATGAAACCATGTGGTAAATCACCATGAGAGAAGCTTTCGTGATCGAAGGAGAAATTGGGTCTTTAATGAACTTGAATAGGATGCCATTGACTCCATCAATGGCGGCCAAGTGTTCTCCGTATAGCTGGTAGCAAGAAATAAGCTCTTTCATGATGTTAATGGAGTTTTGCTTCACTGAAACGTCGTTTGATTTCAAAAACCAAACCATGCAACGCAAAGAAGGTTTTGATCCAAGGAACAATTGAGCTTCTCGAGCAAGTGGGAACATCCAGTTCATTACATACAATATTTCCTCCAACACATTGGCATTCTTCTCCAACGAGTGGCTTGCGAATGCGTCGAACGCAGCGGCGAGGACTCCGGCGGCATCGTTCGCGACAATGCATCGCCTGTTTCGCTCGCTTTCGAGACCCCATTTTTTGATTTTATGAACGGAAACCAGACAGTCACATCGGTCCAATCGTCTCTTCGAATCGGTAACCGAAAATAGAACCTCGGAGACCTCGGCTGAGCTGACGGGGATTCTCGGCGTCGGGATCCTTTTCAATGCCATGGCTCCGATTCTCCACACACCAATCTTGGATCATTTTCCTGAGAGAATGATTGGGTATCTGATCGAAACTTGTAAGGACTTGATTCGTAACAGGGCAGGTGAAATTCCCATCTTCGAGCCATTTCTCGATGCTTTCTCGATCGTAAGTCGTCCCAGAAGATATAGTCACCGGATCCTTCATAAGATCAAGAGCTATTGGGCAAATGAAATGCCTGGGGATCTCAAGCTCCATATGATGCACTTTTTTATCTCCATTTCCGGGTTTTCTTTTTCTCCAACTGAAAACCATTGCCACAGGTAAAGCGAATGAATTCAAAGGCAAAGGGATTAATTTGTTCTTGATTTTGTGAAGGATAAAGGGAGCTTCTTGAGGTTTATATATTGAGCTGAATCTGGGATCTTTTACACGGTGTTCAAAGTCCAGACTTGAACACGAAAGGATGGTTGAAGATTGAGAAGCGTTCAAATTGGATTATTGGTAATAAAACCCTAATGCTACGAAATTAATTTAAGGTTTTAGGGGATGCGAGTGTTGAATTTTGACCATTGAAAAAGACAAAAAAAAACATTTTTTTTGTAGGAGTTGGACTGGAAATGGTAAAACATAAAAACACTGCCCTTTTCCCTTAGCTTGTTTGAACATGTTTTGAGGTTGCGGGTTTGACGGGTCGACTTGGATTGTCTCGGTCTTATATCTGAATTATTCGTCTCTTATGGACCGACCCTGAAAACCTACCCCTTCGAGATTGATTTATTTGGTATATAATTAATTTTTTTTATTAATCACTAATATATGATATATTGAACGACTAATTCAGATCGACTATTGCAGAGACAAAGATGACCGTTCTAACCCAGTTTATTCTATTTACAAATGTCAATATTCGAACTCCTAATATTACTTAAAAAATCTAGTGTCTTATCTCATTACATCAACTAGTTGTTGGTACATTATATATAATTAAATTTGAATATAATAGAACGGGACTGGCTACTTCCCTTAGGGTGTGTTTGGGGGAATGTGTCACATTCCCCCGTTTGGTTGGCCGGGAATATCATTCCTAGTAATCTTACATTACCAATAGTAGATTTTTTGGGGTATATTACCAGTAATGTCATTACCTCCCTTTCCTTGGGTATTATTGGATTATCGGCGTTTTGGACTAAAATGCTCTTAAAAAAAATTCTTTAAAAAATATCCTTATTCTGTCATTGAATAATAAAAATTCTACGAAGGTTAAATTATAAATTTATCCTTAAACTATTTTAGATTTACAAAAAAAAGTCTATAATTAAAATTTTATATAAAGTTCAAGAGTTAAAATAAAATTTTACCCTTTCATTAAACCTTTTTATATTTTCAATTTTGTAAAAAAAAATTACATAAATTATATAAATTTAATTTTTTTAAAGGAAATATATAAATAGTTTTCAATTTGTTAAAAAAACAAATATATAATAAGGATAATTTGATCAAATATACATTCCAATAATCTTTTATTCCTTTAACCAAACACGATAATCTTGCATTCCTGCTAAAGCAACCAAACACAAAATACAACATTCTCAGTAATCCTATTCCCTGATAATCTTTTATTCCCACTGTTAATCTTACATTCCGTGAACCAAACACACCCCTTAGTTTCCAGTCCTGACCATCTAAACCATGTCTGGATAGCTAACACGCTGCTTGGCCTACCTGTTTCAAGCTAATGTCATTGTTGACTTGTAATATGGGCTGATCCAACCAACATCCTTATTCAAACTCTATCAAACAAAGTTTTTATATGTGGGTAAACTATGTCAAAGGTCACTTACCTTAAGGGTTTGTATCAGTTTATCTTTGAACTTTAAATCGATTCAGTTTTAGCATTAAATTTTAGTTTCAGGTTCAATTTAAGTATGAGGCTGTTAAACCATTAATAATCGGATGACGTGACAGTCTGATACTAATGAGAGATGACGTTGAAGCTAAAGAAATGATTTTTTATTCCACATCATCATCTCCTTCATCAAAATTAGGGTTTTTTCCCTCATCTATTTTTACCTATCACTAGAAATCGTCATATTTTGATGCCTTCTGAGACACCTTAAACAACGATAAAATTATCTCATCATTATTTATCACTGCAAAATACAAATGTTTTGATATTGATCTTGTCGTAAATGATGACCAGTGATTGATCGACAATGATGACTGAAGGAGTTGATGATTTTATATAAGGACCAAATTGATACACAAACTAAGTTTAATATCTACAATTGAAGTATTTTAAAGTTTAGTAACAAATCAATACGAGAACTAAAGTTTACAGGAATCATCACACTGTTAACAGTTTAACCCAATGTCCTAATTGAACTCGAAACTAAAGTTCAATGTGAAAATTGAAGTAATTTTAAGTTGAGTGATATTCAATGTATTTGCTACATTTAGTTAAAATTGTGGCGATAATTGATCATATACTTGGCCTAAATATGCAAGAATTGTTTAATCAATCGTCCTTAAGCCTAATAAGATATAATAAATAGGCGAGCATGGACAGAGAGCAGGAAACTATGCAACATTATTGTTATAAAAATATAGTTTATCTACAAAGGAATAGGATTGCATCCCAATGGTTCCATGTCCAACAAATGAACTATACAGATATACACATTATTATACCTAAAATTAAATGACTGAAATAAGAATGTGCATGTCCCAGAAGAATATGTTAAAAGAAATGGGTAAGCAACCGTCACCAAAGATGTTTGTTCCATCTGCTGCAGAATCTCTGATGAATCCATCACACATCAGACATTACCAGCCTTGCCAAGTTAATCTTTAGTAGTAGAGGATCAATTTGCAACATGTTGGCTTTGTGATTACTGGGATTATTCCTTCCTTATAAACGGAGACGAACTGTATTCCGTACTGTAAAACGAATCTTCGCCGTTGACGTCATACATATTATCATTCTTTTCTTCATCCCATTTCAGTACCTCCCTTATATATTTAAATGCCTCGTCAATCGATCTGCGATCTCTGCCTCTAGTCTGCCAAACGAACAGCTTTCTGCCGCATATCGAATAATACAGCTCCTTGAATTTCACCGCCACGTAATAGTACGCTTGTTGTGCCAGGGCCTGTTGATTGTGATGAGGCTTCAAGGGGCTAAAATCCCTGAACCACTCGCAAGTGGACAATGGGATCCGGTTTATCTTCTCCTCCAAGGCATCATATTTGGTCAGCAAAAGCACGAAAGTGATGTCCCTAAAAGACGGGTGGTTCACCAGACTCTCGAACATATCTCTGCTTGCCAACATTTTGTTATAGACGGGGCCTGTACCATGGGACCACATCTCGTTGTAATCACTCAAACCAACACAGAAAATCACCGCACGTACGTCTTCAAACATTTCCAGCCATTTGCAACCATCGTGCAGACCCTTGGAATTGATTCGAATCAGTTGGTACCTAAGGCAACAGAGATTGCCAACAAAAAATACATGGAACAGTTACTTTCAGTACAAGAGGAGGAAAAATCATATATTATGTATCACTATATATATTTCATTGGTAAAAATGGTATTATGCTGCCATCAGAGGGGAAAAGGTTCTACTTGGTCAAGGAAGGAGGGCATTCAAAGTTTTCGTTGTATACTTCGGACATGGGGCTCCTATCATCAAATGAGAATTCAATGGAGGCAAGACCATTACTCTGAGTAACTCCCTCCGCATACAATATATCCTTTTCTGAAGGTTCATACTCATTACTCGATATTTCAACAGCCTGCAGGGAAACAACGAAGAATAACGGCTGGCTAAAGAGAGGAAAACAATGAAGAAAAATAAACCTAGTTAACTGATAAATGTTCATAAACCACAACCATGAAATGATGTTTCATACCTTTTCCAAAAAGTATTTGGCAACATCTGGAAGATGAGGCAGCTCCTCACTTCTCTTGTACGTTTCCTGAATGGCAGGATCCTTCCAGATCTCATCTACAATAGGTGCATACTCACGGGTTGCAGCGGGAAAGAATGCTTCCAAGTCTCCCATAGCCGTAATATCCAATAACCAATCAGAAAAATGCTTCAACCTTGGGTTAATTGAAAAGATACACTGATCAGTTCCATCGACTCCTGTTTCATCTGAATTCAATACTAAGTTATAATACTAAACTTATCTATTAAGGAAGAACGGTTAAATTGACAGAAAAGAGCAGCGGTTAAATTGATATAATAAAATCAGGATAAAAACATGGGAAATGAGATGCAGTAATATTGAGACCTGAAGCAGAATTTTCAGCATCAGAATTATTAGTTCTTAACTCCAGTAAAGCTTCTTCTTCAAATCTCTCTCGTCCTTCAAGTAATACACTTAGATACTTGTACATGTTACTTTGAATCATATGCTTAATGCTCTGCATCTCGTCTGGAGAGAACCCATTTCCATATAAAAACTTTGCCTGTTCAATGGATTGAAAGAAAATGTGTTACAAAAAAGAAAAGAAAAGAACATTCATTCTGGCATAAGAAAGGTTGACGATGGTAAGGATCCTATACATGGCCAAATCACTCAATACAGCCCCTCTAGTTTTATTTCAAGACATTTAATCCCCCCTTCTCTCTACACACACACACGCTGGCTAGTAAAACTATAAACACCAATACCATGTAGCATAACCATGAACACCAAGTTATATTAACAAAAAACATCCTTAAAACCCCACAGCAGGATGATTTGCAGCAGAACAAGGGTTGCATTTTAAGTTAAAACCACATTTTCCAAGAGTAAGAACAAGACCAGAACAAATATATAAAGGAAGGATCAGACAGATGCTGGAAGGCAACAAACGACAATAAGTATTTTACCAAATCATGAGAAGAAAGCTTGGTTAATAATAATGGAACTTATATAAACGAATGAACAGTCATAGAAGCAGGAGAAATGAAAGTAACATGGATGCAGTAAAAACAGTTCAAAACGAAAACCATGCCTGCTTGAAGATGGTACTGGTACCAGATCCTTCCAACCCAAACAATAGCAACTTCTGTACCCTTCCCTGCTCCAGAGACTCAGGCACTGTCCTCCCTGAAAAGGTAGTTGGATCTTCTTGTGGCCCATGAGGATTTGCAGGTGGTACAGGCAGTGAAAACAATGAACAACAGAAACGAGTAAAAGCCTGCCTACCAAAAATCAAACTATACTGAATAAAAAAATCAATTCAACCACTGCCTGAATTCTAGAACTTATATTTGACGTAAAGTTTACAAGAGAACCTTTTCCCATATCTTTCCCCTGATGTTATTTTGACCTTCTTCCTCATAAGATCCATCTTCGTATACCCAGAAATGAGTATCCCTGGGGCATTGTACCTTTGCCAGCTGAAATAAAATTAAAGTAAAAATCGAACCAAAATATTTATACAAAGTAGTGTGTCTGCTGAAAAGAGAAGCAACCAACTGCACCCATCAGAATGAGGAGTTATCCTTTAGAGACTAGAGAAATAATACACTGAGAAATGCAATGCTATCCTTCACCCTATATAAGACTATAATCACAGGCATGCCGAGTTCAGATTCAGTCCTTTAGTTAAGTTACAAGTTTCCATAAAGAGGTAGAAAGAGGAAGCAAAAGCATGTTGCAGTTTATGACAGTCAATCTGTTGCTTGACGACCTTAGGGTTTTGCACTTAATAGCAAAACTGCCTTAATTATTTCTAACGACTAACAAAGGGATGCGTAGACACATCTTTCTCAAGACTAACAAAAATTGTAAAACACTACATAGTAACTAATTAGTCAGAGAACATCCATTACATCTGAGAGCTAAGGTGTGAACAACAATACTCACTCTGCCCAAACTTGCATGTCACTAAGTATATGCGTCATTATATGCCGAACACATGCAATTGAATATGGTTAGTAAAAATCTCATCTTTAAAGGGAATGTATTAGTTATTAATAAGGACATAAGTGTTAAAAAAACTTACAGAAGATATGAAATAGTGAAATCATTGTATGTAACAGATGGCATGTAATACAAAGAAAAAGTTAAGTACCTTCAACACTCTAAGCTCGATCTTAGTGATTTCCCGGCCATTGATGTAAACCCTTGTATTCCCATTGCTAGCATCCTTTTTCAGCTTATTACCAATATTCAACTTAGAACTAATTATCCTGTCAGGCTTTTCCCCTTCCTGAAATTCAATTCAAAGTTCAAACACATGAAATAAAAGCAACAACAATATCTTTTGAATCCAAAAATTTACCTTTCCCCACAATCCAGAATCCTTATCATACCAGTACCTTCCAGGCTTCAACTTTTGAGGTGGTAGTGCACACCCTAAAAGCTCAGCCAATTCTTCATGATTCAATTGTCTCCCATTAACAACCAACTGCTCAGGCCTCAATTGATTGGCAGCACACTCCTTCTCAGCCTTCATTATTTGCTTAACCTCCAAAACACTACAAAGTTTCCTCAAAAGCCTGGAACTTTTCCCAAGTCTAGGCCTCTTGGATTCATCAATAGGCTTCCCGATGCAACTTACGCACTTCCTTCCTTCAGGCATAGACCCCATGGCCTTGAGCAAGCAATTGCTACAATACCTCGCATCACAAACCAAACACGCCTCTCTTTCCTTCAATCTACTCCGTTTCTCACACCTGATGCAAACTCCTCTCTTCTTCTCCTTCCTAACCCGACCCGTTTCCACATTCTCCACAGAAGCAGCAGCATCCGCTACGCTGGAAGAAGAAGAATACCCGTCGTCTTCGTCATCATCTTCTTCGTCATCATTTTCCGATTCTTTCGGCGTGTTAAACGTCACTACAGCATTCTTCTTATCAACTGGTAGCAGCGGAGGAGTCGGTGGCGGCGGAGACTTCTCAACCTCGATCTCGGAATCGTAATTGCCGTTACGAGAATCAATCTGGGATCTTGAAGCGGAGGACAGTCTCTGGCTTTCAAGGGGGCTTCCATTTCTGACAGCATACCGATTCTTTTTAAAGCTGGAGAATTTGGGTTTACTGGGGATCGAAGCGGCGACGGGAATCGAGGAGGTATCATAAACGGAGAGCGAACCGAGATCGAGTGGATCAACTCGAGGGACATCATAAGGAATCGGAGGGCCTTCGTATTCAATAGCGATGGAATAATCGAGATGATCTTCGTCGGGTAACGGAGCTCCCACAGGTAACATTCTTCTGATCACATCTTCCCAAGCTTTGTTATCTTCCTCTGCTTCTTTAGATGCTTCCATTGAACGGTGAGTCCGAGTCCGAGCTTCCTTGTACAGCTCAGGAAGATGAAGATGAAGATGAAGGAGGTGCCAGCTGAGGCAGCCGTTATGGAGTTGGCGAAAAGTAAACGGGGGAAGGTTTAACGCTGAAGATTCAGTCCGTTATATTTGACGCCTTCAGAGTAGGACTCTGTTTGATCCGAGTTCGAGTTTGAAATCAGTAAATTTATTCTAAAAACATCCAACTGCAAAAATGAAATTTAGAGAAAACAAGTGGACGTGGGGACTACACACTACACATATATTAATATTTGGAAAATTACAAATAAGTGCAACTTACCTTAATATTTGGATTTTGTTACAACTTTATCTCAATCCTTAATTATGAATTATATAAGTTGAATTTATGAAATTTAAAAGGAATTTACTTGTATCAAGATCGTTTGAGAACTTTTTATTTGAGACTCTCTCGGTTTTCGACTTAATAAGAGAAAATTAAAGTCGAGTCTATACTTCTTATCACCGTTATTTTTTAAGTTTTTTTTTATCAAAATTAAAAAAAAAATGAATCGTCACCGATCAACATCTTCAAATCCTTCCCCTTTAACTCTTTGGTTAAATCAGAGTGTTTAGAGATTAGCATTCTAAAAACAAGAGATGTGATGAAATTAAAGGGGTTGAATTGTAATTATATTTAGAATAATCATGAAATTTTATCACAAATATTAAATTATAAATTTCATTATAATAAAGGGATTAAAATCAGCATTAGACCAAAATGTCAAAAACCATTTGATCAGACCAACAGACGACAATTGCAAAACAATCGACTCACAGTCCCAACACAAAAAACAAAACCACTAATCTCCTTCGATTCTCATCAACTCATCAAGATAAAGTTTTTCATTATATTCGTAAAAGATTTATCCTCTTCCCGAAAATGGAGGCAGCCGCCACCACTTTGTTCGGTTCTTCTTTATATCTACATCCACCTTCAAGCTCCGTTGCTAAATCGGCCGTTTTCGCCGCCGGAACCCTCCCCTCCTCGATTAAGGTTTCAAATTACTTACTAGTTTCTTTTATTTTTGTTGTTATATCAATATATCTTTACCCATTTTGGGTCTTTCATATATTTGCGTGAATTTTTATTTCTGTTTCGCATTATGTGAAATTAACGAGGGAAGGGAAGATTTTGATACTTGTGGATGGAAACCCACCAACCGTGGAACACATTTCTCTGCTGATTTTGAATTTGTTTTTGTTTTTTTTAATGCGTATCAATTCATTGCTGCAGCATTATTGTTCTCTAGCTTGTTCAAGATCATGGGATAAAAGAAGGGTTTTGGGGAGTAGGAGAGGAATGGCTGTAAGGGCATCATCATCATCTTCGTCTCCTGATTCGACTGACCCATCTGCTCCAATTGCACCCCATAGGATGGAGTCTCCAATTGGGCAGTTTTTGTCTCAAATCTTGATAAGCCATCCACATCTTATGCCTGCAGCGGTCGAGCAGCAGCTCGAACAGCTTCAAACCGAGTGGGATGTTGAGCGAAAGAAGGAAGTACCATATGCTTCAGGGACGGACTTGGTGTTGCATAGGTTGGTGATTCATCTTACTGTGTATTCATAACCGGACATATATATCTCATGGAAAAGGTTTGGCTTTACAGGAGAATCGCTGAGGTTAAGGCAAATGAGCGAAATAAAGCTTTGGAGGAAATCCTCTACGCATTGGTTGTACAGAAGTTTATGGATGCCAATGTTACTTTGGTGCCTGCAATAACTCCCTCCTCTATGGATTCTTCAGGTCGAGTGGATACGTGGCTGAGCCAAGAAGACAACCTTGTGCTACTTCACTCGCCAGAGGCCAATGAGATGATCCAAAACCATCTATCTCTCATTCTGGGAGATCGAGCGGATGATTTATCATCTGTTGCACAGACTAGTAAACGCTTGATTGGGCAGGTGTATGCTGCGTCGGCAATGTATGGGTACTTCCTGAAGCGGGTTGACCTGCGATTTCAGCTGGAGAAGACCGTAAAAATCCTTCCAAATACCCCAGATGCCGAGGGAAGTAGTATAGAGCTAGTTGTGAGAGAGGAGATGGGACCTGCAGGGGACCATCAAGCTGTTCCGTCGTGCCCTGAAGTCTCATCTTGGTCTGGTATCATCAGTCCTGAAGAGTACGCTAACTTGGTAAAGCCCTCTCGGTTACGGACTTACGTGATGTCCTTTGATGGGGAGACACTTCAGAGATTTGCTACGATTAGATCGAAAGAAGCTGTCAGCATTATTGAGAAGCACACAGAGGCCCTATTTGGAAGACCCGGCACTGTTATTACTCCTCGAGGGACTGCTGGTTCTTCCAAGAACGAGCGTATTAAGATTAGCTTTGGTGGTTTGAAGAGGCTTGTTTTGGAGGCTGTCACTTTTGGTTCTTTTCTATGGGATGTTGAAAGCTTCGTAGACTCAAGGTACCATTTTGTTATGAATTAGCTACTTCCAATAACATCCCTACTTTCAATACCATTTTGTTATGAATTATTCTGTATGTATTTATATTTTGCTGTTGGAATTTGCATCTTGTCACGTAATGCATCTAAACGAATCGTCTCATTAAACCCCGTTTAGAATGTAACAATCACAGGTACACACAAAAATAGTAAAGATTCGAACCATGATCTGGGATTGCATTGCAACTCATATAGGCTGAGATTATGTTCATTATTTTTCAATATATTAATCATAAACTTTCACATACAACAGTCGTATCTACAAATGATGATTAAGTTTATATTAAATAGTAGTAATGAACACAATTCAAATGTTCGTCGAGGTACATTTGATGTCAAAATTTTCTTAAACTGCATATTCTAATGTATAACAAGATGGAATCCTCAATTGATTGTTGTGTTGTATGGCTGAAGAAACGGTTTCCTTACACTCCAAGTATGCAAAATGGTGCGTAAACATCGTAGAAGGCAATGTGGGGTGGTGTCGAAAAAGATTATCTCAACCTGTTCTGAATAAATTTTAAAACCAATTAATATCATATATAATAGCTACTACTATTATTTAAAAAAATGGTGTTAAAAAAAAGGAGAAAAAAAAAATACCGACCAGCATTGGCGAGGAAGGATCTTAAACAAAACCATCTAGCGTCAATTTGTCTAAGGAAAGGACTCGGTTGAGCCTCTGCATCACCCCTATAGTCATGGTTGCCCAGAACTGTATGGAATTGCGTAATCAGTCATTAACGTAGATCAACATATAACATGGAATACAATGAAAATGCATGAATTATTAAGTCGGAGTTACCGCTGAACCATGGGGTTTGCAGGCTCCTGTATTTGTAAGCGTTGGTGAAAGACTGTCAAAATGTTGGGTCGTGTTGGCTGTTCAACCCATTGTCATAGAAATTATCTCCCGTTGACACTACAAAATCGATGTCCAGCTTTGCTCTGATCTTTCCCATCTATATGTAGTTTACGACCGGTCATTGAATTATATGATGATACGTCGATTCTCGAAATGATACCTGGAAGTGGAAGATGGTAAAGAACGAATTACTTGGCATGTGATTGGTTAAACACCCCTTTTCTGCCCCAATCTCCGACCACCAAAATGCTAAGGTAGTCGTCGTCGTCGACGCCTTTGCTGCTGCTGCAGCAGTTGCCGGGTCTGGATTGCACCGTCAAATTCAATCTCTCGAGCTCTGCTGATACGTATATTTGACTTGCAAAGCACAACATATAAATGATCCTCAACATAAACCACTGATGGCATTGGCATTGATCACCTATTTCTCGTTTTTTTTTTTAACTTGCTTAAAGAATTGATGCTTTTCAATGCCAACGCCTGGGGTTTGTATTAGTTAACATGCTTTTGCCATTGCAAATGACTCAAACCAAAGTAGTCTCCATTTCCCAGAGCAAAGGGCTGGCAATGGCTGGAAACCGAATATACGAAGGTGGAGATGAACATTACAGCGATGGACTCATGCAAACCCATGAATATTCCGCTGTCTTCTTGCAGCCGTTTGTTTCTGTTAATAGTTTCTTAACAATTTACCAATTCCTATATTTTAGCCTTGAATTTTCGTCTGTTTTTCTTTTGTTAATTGTTTCTTCTCTTTTACGAATTTAAGGTAAATTTCAGAAATATTCTAATTATTAATCCTTTTACTTGTAAAGATTTTAATAATAATTATGCAGATCAACTTTAATTGTAATAATGCATGTACGTTATTTGTAATTATATATCTTATAAATCAGCATTCTAGTACTATACTAAAATTTATTTGATAAAATTAATGACCTAATGATTTAGTTAAATAAGACAAAAACTCCTTTAAGATTTTATAAGAAGCTTTCATGTTATTTGCTTCTCTACATATAAATTACTTGAATATGATAAATATACATAGACATTACATTAATACAATAATTTATTTTCAAAACTTAAACTGATAAGCAGGAACCATTGTAAACAGTATCATATATACATTCCTTGAATATAACCTTACCAAGCACTAGTCTTGCATTATGTTCTGAAAATCTTATTTTAAAAAATAACCTTATATTACATGGAACCAAACGGACATGTTCAAATGACACTTAAAAATTCAAATTCAAACCATTAAGATTTAATTAAGAAAAAAGGTTTGGGGAAAAAGAACAACTTGTTCATACTAAAACACAAACAAAATGGAAATTTCCTCCAAAACAGATCATGAAGACATGATCCATTTTAGTGTAGGAATAGGATGCACTACAAAATCTTCCATTGAACATGATGGCAAAAGCTAGAATGTATTTAACACAAGCCACACGAATAGAGTAAAAGGACAGGCCTATGTTGGTTTTCGCATGTTCCTGCCGGCTCGAATCACTTCATCCACCAACAGCAACTGTGAAGCAATTACAGGCCTGTAAAACAAAGTACCTCCCTTGTTTCAGAGTACAGAACAAACTACTTCTTAAGCTTTATGTATTAAACACGCAATCACCAAATGGAGGAAATTGGTGAAAATGGAAATATACATGTCAACAACGGCAAAATACAAAAGAACCAAGGTGCGGCAAATGAGTGCATTTCTAAACTACAAGTAGAAAATGGTTTTACGTACCCTGAGTTTATAATTTGGCGTTTAACAGAGTAGTTATCAAATATACCCTCCATTTGGGGGTCCATAGGTTCTCCTGTTTGATGGTTTAGGCCCACAACGTTGCCTCTGTCATGCTCCCCCTGAATCAACAGTCAAAGACAATTGCTCCACTTAGCATTTTCTTCAGCTTCTAGTTACGAGATGGGTCAAAATGAACAACAGACAAAATAAGTAGTAGTACCGTAAGACCAATTATGACATCCTGAGTGTCAAGCCCAGCATTTTCAGCAAGAGTCTTTGGCACCACAAGAAGGGCATCTGCGAATGCTTCAACACCTAATTGGGCACGCTATTCCGAATTTATAAACATTAGAAATATTTCAGAAGTCATTTCACTAATTGTAAACAGGGAAATATGCCAGAGACATACCCCTTGAACAGTTTTCTTTACTTCATTAATTAGGTATTGTCTTGCAGCAACTTCAAAAGCTCCCGCACCCTGAAGCAAACGATATATTCATTTACCAGAAAATGTCATGAAAGGTTGCACTGTGTAAGATTCAAACCAAAATAATTCTGTCTCAACCTATGGCTTTATAGTTAAATTAAGTTCAAGGGGTGCCTGCAGCTTTCATTTCCTATCTTAGACTGAGGCTAATGTGAAGATGTGGAATATGAGCTACATTGCAAATAAAATTCTAAACAAGCAAAACTCACTAATACAACTGCTTCATCTTCAATGGTATTCTTAACGGCTCGAAGCCCATCACGAACAGCATCCTTAATTTGGGCAATTGTATGGTCATTAGGCCCTGTATTATTGACAAGAGCATGATTAGCATATAAACAGCTAGTTAAATGTTCCATAAGTGGTACCAATCATATAGTTATTAAATTTGTACACATTAATTAAAAACAGTTCCACGTACCTTTTATCAAAATTGTACATGAATGGGGATGTCTTACATTTTCCACAAATGTATACTTATCTTCCCCAAGGACATGCTCATAAACAAGTCCTGCCCAGCCAAGACAATCAGGGGTTAAATCATCAACAGAATTTACAGCTTCTCCTCCACAAGCCAAAACAAGCCTTTCCATATTTCTTCTCTTTGCTCTTCTGAGTGCAATGATCTGCAAAACCACAAATCAGCAAATTGAACTAAATAACAGGTGAGATAAACTTTAACAAAAACCAAAAAAAATAAAATTCATTAATATAGGCAACACTTCAGCAGAAGGAAAATTTTCATAATCGCATCAGTCTTATATCTGATGTTTCCTCATCTACACCGAAGAAAAATAGATAAACTGCAGCACTTGTAAGAAAGCTATACACATCTACCAAAGAGCAAGATATTATGAAGATTCTATAAGTGGGTATAGGGATTGAAAGAACAAAAGCCAATTGCTTACCCCTGCTTGTTGAAGAAGATGCAAAGAAGGGGGATCAATACCCTTTTGATTGATAACAACAAAGTTGTTTTCAGTTCCCGCACAAACCTACAGATGGCCAAGAGGAGTAGGAATATCGTACGAATTTATATATACCTGCTACAGCAATGCCACAATTACAATGGGTACGTGAGGCATAAAAGGCTACCTTATTTTTTAGCTCAATAATCTTTTTGACTCTTTCATCAACTGAGCGCCTTTCAGCTGCAATCATTGCCTCTCTCTGCTCAGCATTTGAATAGAAAAAGCCTGCATTTATTTCACTGAGGGCTAAAATATTAGTTACATGATGGCAATCACAACAACATATATCCACATTGAGGATAACCAAAGAAATGCAGTGGCAGACACCAAATGAGAAGTTTAGCACAAGGGAGATCATATTTCCATGAAGGAATATTTAATATCATCATTCACTACAGATACATAAAAGAATAACAAACCTAGTGTTCACAAACCAACCAGTGCCCCTCTCTATAACCAGAAATCACCATCCCAGTAGTGAATTTCATATTGGTATGCTTGTTGAGAATTCGTGAACACTACCGATCCAATTCAATAAAAATATTGATCCCAGTAATATATAGTTCACTATAAAATTATTGACCATTAGGCATTAATAAACTTCAAAGTTATTCATTTAGAATTATGTGTTTATAAAAACACAAATATTATATATAGAAGTTCTAGAAAACATTGTACATTCCAATATTGTATATTTGTATTTTGTTCCTACTAAATGAACCGAAGAACACTACCCCTGTTGAATTACATTTTATAGAAGTAGTGAATTGCATTCCAGTTTTCATTCCTTGTACTGAATGGATCTGCAAACCAGGTAACATTGTGCCCCCTCCCCTTGAACCCCTCACATCACGAAAAAAAATGGAGTTAAAGACATGCTCATATATGTACCTTTTCTCATATTCCAATGATACGTTACATGTCAAAATGTAACAATTTTCTGCTCTTCGCTTCATATCCGGATGCCTAGACCCATGGTCCAATACTAATCCCTCCACCTAGGGAACCAGAAAAAGTAAACATAAAAAGCTGCATATAGAAACAGACCAACACATGCACACACATACCAAAAACAAATTAGAAACAAAACAGAGGTATTCAAGCCCATGCCAAGCACAGCCAAAATATGAGAAACCGCTTCACATCATCCCAGGCGAAGCCATTTGAATGAGGCGATGATTTAAACAAGAGCACAAGCATTGAGGAAGGTGGGATACGTACAATGCAAGATCAAAGGAAGGAAATATAAACATACCAGCCGCGTGTCTATATCAAACTTATGTCGCATGTGCATTATTTCCACCATAAAGAGATCAATAGGCTCATCTGGTTTTCGGATACCGACCACCTGCAAAACCAAATAAAAGTTCATGTAATCGAAGTGTTAAAAGAAAAAAGGGGTAGAAACAAACAATTTTCCCACTTACAGCATTAACAACTATGTCTGTCAGTTGATCTGCCAATCTTTCATACAACTGTGTGAGAATACAAATGATCAATCATATAAACTAGATGTCACTGAAAACAGATAAGATAGTAAAAGTGAAAGGGTAGAAAACTGGAAAATACCTTAGTCCTAAGTGTGGTTCTGGCAACCATTTTCAGGATATCCTTATCTGGTTCAGAAGCCATCACAACAGGAGTCTTAAACTTCTCAAGGAACTGAAGGGTAGCTCTTTTGGCAATTTCAAAACCATCCACCAGAACACGTGGATGCATCCCTAAACGAGAAAAGGAAGTATATATGAATATGTATGTGTGTGTATATACATGCAGAAATGCTATGTCATGAGCTTGAACTAAAGAATCTTACTAAAGTCCTGTCCTCCTGATCTTAAATTCCTAACAAAGACAAGATTACAGCCAGTAACATGACTGAAAAAACTGCTCTGATTATCTCAACGCCATCCAACTAAAAATGATCCATAAATCTAATACAAAAGTGCAGAGTGAGCAGTTCTTTAACATGGACTCGAATCAGTCTTACGAGTCCTAACCTTCATCAATGTAACGCTCGGATTGCTTCATTAGCTCTCCAATGAAGAGTACAGTAGATGTAGTTCCATCACCGCTGGCGTCATCTTGTGCAACAGCTGTCCTTGCTATCATAATAGCAGTCGGGTTTTGAATTTGCTGAAACATTTTCCAATCAAACAAATTCAGTAAATAGTACTAAATCAACCATTTCATTTCTCAAACATGAAAAATCTTAATCCCCCTAACTAATTAATTATTTAACATTCTTTCAGAAATAGCATAGACATTTAAATCTGGTGTAGAAAATGAAATCTTCTCGAATCATACAAAGAACAAGAAGAAGGGAAAAACAAGAAAAAGTAGCTAGAAAATTTTCATGAAAAGGGAACGAACCATTTCTTTCAAGAGAGTGTTTCCATCTTTGGTGAGCTTGATATCACCAGCACCACCAACAAGCATCTTGATGGTGCCTTTAGGTCCCAGATTTGTTTTGAGAACATCTTGCAACCCCTTGGCGGCGTTGATGTTCATGTGCAGCGCCGCCGATTTGTTGAGAACTTCGGCATTAGGGTTCAACACTCGAAGCGACATCGTATGCTAGCCTTTCTTTTCCAAAAAACGAAGTCGAGGCAAATTCTGAGAGAGAGTGAATTTTCTGCAAAGAAGAAATTGAAAGCTTGGAATGGTATTAGGGCTTCTAATATCTAATAAGCATCTAACTAAGAGGCCTACAAGTCAAACTCAAGCCCAAAGTATTTTGAGACCTACTAAATCCACAATTCAAAGTTTTACAAATGAATTTGGGTTAATTCCATAATATGTCCCCAACCTATTACTTGGATCTAACATTTGTCTCTGAACTTCAATACAACCTAATTGAATCCTTAAACCGCTAGTATTGTCTAGCGGAATTTTTTTCGTCACTCTAATCATCAATTTATATATTAAATATCAAATTGAATTTGGAACGAAGCATAGTAAAATTACATGGATCAAACTGTAGTAGATAAACCTGTATTTAAATTTGATCTATCTATTTCGAATATAATTCACATCAAATTTATTCTAGAATTTAATTAATATCCAAATTAATAGTTACGTCAGGGAATAATCTAATTGATGTCATATTTGATGCTTTCAAAAATATTGTGAGTTTGAGATAACATCGACTCTAATCATAATTTAAAAGTGTCTAGCGGAGTCAATCCATTAATTTTCGACAAATTTTAAATCTAATCATAAATTTACCTAGGAAAAAGAAGTACTCCCAATGGATATATAATCCACGGCCTAAAGAAAAATGAAAGAACAATATGAATAGTTGACCAACTGGCCAGATGTGCATGCTCTCGTCAATCCATCATTGAATTCATTTATTGTTGTTATTAGACATCTTCCATAATCAGAATTATCAACCAAATAAATTAAATAACTAATAACTCTTCATACAAATTTAAAAAAAATAAATCGTAATTACCTTTACAATCATCATCTCTCTTGTTGTTCATCAGCGAGTCTAGTTTTAATCTCCACACATACATAAATCTTATATAAAATTACTCTAATACAATTTATGTTCATTTTATAGTCAATAATAATTAATTTTGTTTGTGGTGATTTATATATGATATTTGTAATTGTCGGTTCTTATATATATATATATATATAGCACCGAATTTTGTGTATGGAATGAAGATATGCTGATAGAGTGGGGGGAAAGGAAATATACAGTGATCTATTTTGAGTGTATTGACTATTGAGAAAACGAGAGATCAGCTGTGGGTGAAAGAGGCTTCGTTGAACTGTCATTTTCCTCTCTATGTATGTGTATACTAATTATCTTCTTTTGTCATTCACTTCTCTTTATATGTATGTATGTATATACTAATTATCATATTATTATTGCAATACCACTCTTCTCTATATATGCACTATGTCTCCAAATTTCATTTTCTTTGACCATGAATCTGTGTCTGTTCCTCCTCTTATTAGGTTCTCTGAAAACCGTTTTCTCTCGAGAAATAAAAGAACATGTCTTGTGAAAGGGATTTCAGTGACCAGTCTTTGAATCCGACTCTTGATCTATCACTCCACATTAGCCCTTCCAACAGTGTTTCTTCCTCGATTTTCACCGCCACAAATGAGCCTGGTTATTCTTTCGAACAATCACTCACCCGTCGCCGAACCTTAACTGTCGACCATCCCTCTTATCGTTGTCTCAATCCCCCTAAATCCATAAATTCAAACTTAATTCCCTACACCTAATATCCTAATCTCTAACCCTAGCATGAACCAAACAACCTCAATAGTAAAAGAATTATTGTTATTCCTTGAGGTTTCAGGTTCGAGCATCAAGAATGCAGATGTATGAGGGTTCAATGTTAAATGGTTGAGTTGTACTTATCCTAGATTAATAATAATAAAAAATATCTAACCCTAATCCCAAATTTATCATTCTCACCTTAAGTTAAATTTAGATATTATGGGACGATAGAGGGTTCTAAACGCAACTGAGGATGATAGAAATTTTGTACGCATGTGAGGGAGTTACGTAGGCAAGAGTGGGGAAGATTTTTTTTCTTAAAAAAATATTTTAATTTTTTTAATAAATAAAATTTTAATATATATATATATATGATACATATCAAATAACGGTCAAATTTAACGACCGTTACTGTATAGGTACCTAAAAGTGTAACGTCAGTAACATTAGGCACCTAAAATTAACTTAGGGTATAATTTGAGCACTTATTTTTGCATTAAGCCAAAATATAAACATGATACGTGTTACTTAACGATTTTTTTAACGGTTTTTATTGCGTAGACACTTAAAAGTATAACAAAGAAAACATTAGACACTTATTTTTAACGAAAAATCCTTTAAACATATATAATTAACTTAGGGTATAGTTTGAAAACTTATTTTTGTTTAAGCTTAAAATTATTCTTATGACGTTATAAATAATAATAAGTTTTGATAAATTTAAAGATAATTATTTAAAAATTTTAATAACCATTTTATAAACATTTAAAAGTTTTATTGGTAAGAAATATATTTTTATCATAATTTATAGATATTTATGAACTCTACCTTCAATTTTATAGTTTACAATCTTCCTCGGCAATCATAACTCATAACATCACAATAATTATATATTATTTGAAAAAATAAACAATATTTAATGGGTCAATTATCCATTTCATACATGAACTATACTCAATTCTCAGTTTCATTTATAATGTTTAAAAATTTTCGATTATATACATGGTGTTTTCTGCCATTAACGAGTGCACTCATTTCCGTCACGGAAGATGATGTGGAACTCCATGACCGTTAACGAGCTAACACGTGGCCAATTAGAAAAAAATTGACTTTTTTACCTATTTTCCATGTGGATTAAACGGTCTGATTTTTTCCCTATTTGCAACGGGATTTTAAATTGCATTTTTTCCACGTAGATTAAACGGGTCTCCTTTCTTCTAACCTTTGTTCATTGGAGAGAAGTTCCATGATTTGAGTTCAGTTGAATAGGAGAGAAGTTCAGATCACCCACTTGGATTTCTTTCAAATTGAGTTTTTAAATAATTAGGGATAGGGTTTTTACGCAAGAGTGAGGTTTCGTTGTAGGTGGGGAAATTTCTAAATTCTAAAAAAGGGTTTAAAATGAGTGAGGTTATTCATCTTCACATTTAATTTGAGGTAAATACCCTCTATCTAAATTTTGATAATGCATTCAATTTTTTTAGTGTTTTTTTTTTTGTTATTTGATTTTGAAGAGTGGTTTGAGGTTCTTTGTTATTCGAATGGGTATTAGTATATTAGATTTTTCAACGGCTTTAAATTGTTTTAATTTTGGTAATATTTTTTAATATTCTTTGTCGTTTTGATTGATTGCAGAGAGTGACTAGTCTTGCTTTTAGAGATTCAATTTAATGGAGATTTGGGGAAAGAAACTGAATTGCAGAGAATATTTTGAAAGTGTAAGTATTGATTTATTTTATTCTTCATATTTTCAATAGAAATGTTTAAAAATTGTATATTGAGTTAAATTTGTCTCTTATCATGTATATTTCTTTGTTAAGAACCCAAATTTAGAATATGTTGGTGGAGATGAGGTTCAGTGGGCTATTGACAAAGATTTATTAAGTTATTTTCAATTAATTGACTTGGCATATAAGACTGGTTATAAAGCAGTAATGTGGTTTAACTATTTGGTACCAGGAGATACTTTAAAGGATGGGCCTATAGTTTGTTATGATAATGCATCTTTCAAGACTATGATTTCATATAATAAGAAAGGGGTACTGCATGTGTATGTTGAACATAAAGTGGATATCCCAAAATATGTAGATGAAGACTAATTAAGTCTAGAAAATAAGATGTTGTCTAAGTCACATGTTGGTGGTACATGTGATAATGCTAGTGGACCTAACAACTGTGTAAGTGAGACAACAAAAGTTGGTGGGTTTCATATGTTGAATTAAAAAAGTATTTAATTGATGCAAAAGTTAGTGGCTTTAGTAAAGTTGGTGGGTTGAGACAATGGGCTTGACAGACATTGAAGTAGGGATAGAGAAAAGTTTGAGGCAAAATCTCAGACTGAGCTTGAGGTTGAGAAGTCTAAAACTGAGAGTGTTGAAGATAAGGCTGAGAAGTTTAAAGCTGAGGTGAGGGTGCTATGGGTGAGGCTGAAAGTGAGACTAATAACTCTGCTGACAATAACGGTTTAAGTTTTATTTTGTCACAGAGACATGGTTATAGATCTGATGATGATGAAATTAGGGGAATAGGGGAAGTTTGTTTTAAGTTCTATGAGAAGTAAAATAGGAAGAAGCTGTCAAGTGATGATGTATATAGGGAGCCCATTTTTTAAGATGTTGCAACTGGTCAAGCCTCAAATGTGAAAATAATGATAGGGTTGATAAGGAATATAGGGTTGTTAACAATGGAGAAGACACAAATTATATTAATTCATCAGATGTTGGATGTTATGAAAGTAGGAAGATGCATAAGTTGTTTATAAGAAAAGTAACAAGGTATTTTATAACCCTTGTGATCCAATCCCTAGTTTAACTCTTGGTTTGATTTTTTCTAGCACATGGTAATTCAAAGATACCTTAGTTAACTATGTCGTGTCAAAAAGGTTTGATTATAAGCTTGTGAGAAATGAGCGTGACAAGGTTAGTGCAAAATGCAAGGTGAATAGTTAAATTGGGAGATCTATACCTCTATTAACAACAATGATGGGTTCTTTAAGGTTAAAAAGCTTATTAGTCAGCATGATTGTTCAATAACCTTAAAAAACTCAAAGGCAAACTACAATTTTATAGTTAAACACTTTTTTAAAAAATGAGGATCATATCAAAGTTAACTTTGCAAGAGTTGTAACGTTTGGCTAAGGATGAGTTAAATGTGGATGTTCCTATCAATTTATATAGTAAAGAAAGGATGTGGGCAAATAATGAGATTAATGGAAGGGTTGTATATGAGTTTGACAAGTGGTTTGACTATGTTGCAGCTTTAAGGTAAGATGACCCAAATTGCAATGTAGATCTAATGGTTGTGAGACCCAGTCTCAATCACCCTAAGATCTTTAGAAGGTTTTATATCTGTTTGGATGCAGCCAAAGAGGGCTTCAGAAACTATTGTAGGCCAATTATCAACAAGATGATTGCTTTTTGAAATGTCATTTTAATGGAGAATTACCGAGGGCTGTTAAAAGAGATACAAATGACCAAAATTATCCAATAGCTTGGGTTGTTGTAGAAGTTGAGTCATAAGAATCATGAGATGATTTTTGGAGAACTTGAAGTTTGGTTTCTATTTAGATGATGGTTCAGGGTTTACTATAATAAGTGATATGAAAAAGGTAAATGATCAAACTTTATATTATGTAAATCATTAACATTTTCTAAAGTATCTAACCTTTTACTATAATTTTATTTTCTGAATACAAGGTTTAACTGAAGAAACCAAAATAGTTTTGCCAGCTGTTGAGCATCATTTATGTGCAATACACTTTTATGCTTATTAGAAAAAAACTACAAGGGCAGTGATTTACAGAAACTGTTTGGATTTTTTTTAAGAGCACCAATGAAGGTGATTTCTATCATCATGCATCTAGATTGGGTGAGTTGTAGGGTAAAGCTTTAGAGGAATTTTTATTAAAAGCTCTAATATACTGGTATAGTGTTTTTTTAATAGTTTCTCATAGTGATGTAGTTGATAATAATTATGATGAAGCATTTAATGTTGTTATTTTGCAATCAAGGTTCATGTTCATAATATCCATGTTTTAGTACATTAGGCACTATATAATGAATATGATTAAGGAAAACAATAAAAAAACTATGTCTTGAAAATCAATGTTTGAACCTAAAATCATGGGAAAATTTCAAGTCAATAAGAAGTTGAGTTCTTACTATCATGTTACTTGGATTGGTTCTGATGGATATGAAGTAGTGTGGGGGTAAGATACTTATGTTGTTGACATGAAAATAAGAAATGTTCTTGTAAGGCATGAGATTTAACTGGTATACCATGTCCTCATGTTATATGTGTCATTTTATTTAGAAATGAGTTAATTGAGGATTATGAGTTTCATTTGTACAAGAAAGAAGTTAATAAGCATCTTTATAGTTGTGTCCTTCTTGCATTACCTGGTGATAAGTTCTGGACGAGGACAAATTTGGGTCCTCTAAAGCCACCCATTGAGAATAAAATGTATGGGAGATCGAAAAAGAAGAAAATGCATGAACCATGTGAAAGCAGTTATGGGTCAAGATTATCTAAAAGAAGATTAAGACAAAAGTGTCAACTATGTTTCGAACAAGGACATAACTCAAGTAAATGTCCTACTAAACAACAACCTCAACAAGCAATATCAACACAACAGGCAATAACACCAACACCACAACAGACAACAACATTAAATATATGTAAAATAAGCCTTCCACCTATTTTTTACATGCTGCCAGTAATTCTCTCTATTAAATGTGTATTGATATTTTGTTTTTACATGTTTTTTTTTTTAAATTTCAATAGGTTGAAAATGAGACCTCTCTATTTAATGTGCACTAATATTTTGTTTTTACATGTTTTTTAAATTTCAATTTAGGTTGAAAATGAGATCTTTCCACATAGTCCTAGTCATTCTCCAATTCACCAACATGTTCCACCATCAAATACTACTGGCAATGATAAGGGTAAAAACAAAGCAGCTGAAGAACAACCTAGAACTCAACCTACAAGGCCAAAGTGGTAATGTCAATATGCAACATTAACACAACAGGCATCATCAACAACAACACAACCTAGAGCTAAACCTACAAGGCCAAAGAGGTTACAGAAGAGGAAACAACCATGGAAGTGGATGCATTGTCCCTTTGAATATTGTGTTAAACTCTGTTTAAGGAGCTAGTAAATGAACTGTCCTTTATCATATTTTTTAAAACTTTACTTTGGGAGACAATTATAACTTTATATATTTTGGTCAACTTTATGTATTTTATAAAATCTTGAATGGAAATATGGTCACCTTTATATAATTTGTTCAATCTTAAACGAAAATTTTGGTCAACTCTGTTGAAGGTTAACAATGCAATATAAAGAAGAACATTTCATAAACAACTAAAATAATATAATGAAGGTTAACATATTTAGTATTGTAAATTTGCAATAGATGTATAATAAAGAATATTTCATAAACATCAAATTGTTTAAGTACACCAACCTTTTACAACTAAAACTAGCTTCAGGTTAACAAGTACATAAAAGTACACCATGAAAAACAACTAAAACAACCTTGTTGATAAGTGCTTTATTTGGTTAATATTTTGCTTTTAAATTGCTCCTTAATCATTGGTTTTTGTGGCTTATTTGTTTGTTAAATCAGATCAAAATAATTGGAGTTTAAAATTAACTGATGCACTTTGGCATATCGAACCGCTTATAAAGGTCCCATTGGGATGTCACCATACCGGCTTGTTTTCTGTAAATCATGCCATTTACCGGTTAAGTTAGAACATCAGGCTTATTGGGCTGTTAAACAATATAACATGGACATGGATGCGGTTGGTGAAGCTCGAAAATTACATATTCAAGAACTTGAAGAAATCCTAAAAAATGCCTATGACAGTGCTCGAATATTTAAAGAAAAAACAAAAAGAATTTCATGATGATCGAATTTCTTTTAAAACATTTTCTGTAGGTCAAAAAGTATTGTTATTTAACTCGAAATTTAAACTTTTTGTAGGAAAACTCAAGTGAAAATGGCTTGGACCATTTACAGTGACTCAAGTATTTCCTTACGGCGATGTTGAAGTTGAATATAACTCAGTAGTTTGATTTGAAGTTAATGGTCAAATATTGAAGCCGTAATATTAAAAATCTCTGGTTGGTCTAATCGAAGAAATCAATTTAAAGAAACCCGCAGTTTGAAAAATTAGGTCGTCGAGCTAATGATGTTAAACAAAGGCGCTTGATGGGAGGCAACCCATTTCGTTTTATTTTCTTTTTAAATTCGTTTTATTTTATTTTTAAATTCATTTTATTTTTAGCAAACTTTATTTCATTCTATTTATTTTATTTTATTTTATCAGATGCTTAATTTTATTTTATTTTTCAATATAATGAAGGTTAACATATTTAGTACTGTAAATTTGTAATAGATGTATAATAAAGAATATTTCATAAACATCAAATTGTTCAAGTACACCAACCTTGTACAACTAAAACTAGTTTCATGTTAACAAGTACATAAAAGTACACCATGTAAAACAACTAAAACAACCTTGTTGATAAGTGCTTTATTTGATTAATATTTTTTTTAAATTGTTCTTTAATCATTGGTTTTTGTGGCTTATTTGTTTGTTTTGATTCATTTTCTGTGTAGGACACTAGATTCTGGAGATTGCACTAAAATTATAGAATTTTGTAGTTTTTTTAATTTTTGGAATCAAAGCTGGATTAGTGGGTATGACTTTGGGCATGAAACATCTGACGTGGCGACGACGTCAGCACCTTCTAGAAGATCCAGTCAGCACTTCTAGAAGAAAGAATAGATCAGTCGCAAGTTTCTACAATTCAGATTTGAATTAAACTCATATTTTAGGATATTATTTTAAATAGTATATTTTATCTTATCTTTGTTTTATGTATTTTAGTTTAAATAGTTTTAAGTATTTTAATTAGGATTTTCTTCTTTAATTTAGGATTTATCTTTACATTGTTTTTAGGATTTTGAAGGCTATAAATACCCTTTCAGGGTAAGCCTAGAAACATATCTCTCAACAATTGAGAATTTACTCTTCTTCTTCTTCTCTCTAGCTTTATAAAATTCTCTCTTTTATTTCCTTTCAAGTTTTCGATTTTTTATTTTTATTTTAAAGTTTTTTTTTCAAATATGCTAAGTATGACTGTGGTAATGCTTACCTAATTTTCTTTTACGCCGAAGGCTAAAGCGAAGGCTCAATTCCAAACGTGAGAATTGTAAGCCAGATAAATCGCTTTAGATTTCTCTCTCTGTTTTTTGGGCTTATTTTCAAATCAAAACAATTTTTCAAAACAAAAAGTCGACATTGGTCTAGATGTTGTTATGGTTAACGTGGGAGGAATGATTGGCTTATTGAAGCACATTTGGCTTCCTAGGAACACACTTAGCAAAGTTTTTTGCTAAGAGAAAACTGTGATCGTAATCAGTTATTGTTGAAACAACATAATCCAAGTCGCCATCTTTTCGAGCCTTAACGTTTTTATATCTACAACATTGTTGTTGATTAGATCAATTCACAAACCGATATTGAAGATTGCACTTGGGTAATCGATATACAAAGCATAATCACAAGGATTTGTCCTTGTAGACAAGTAACCGGCTTGAATTCTAAAGTAAATATCTATTTCGATGATCCGAGGAAACTGAGTCAAAGCTAAAAGCGTGAGGTTACTTTTCACAATAAGTTTTCTTTTCAAACTCAAATTACTATTTTATTTTATTTATTATTTTATTATTTGTCTTTATCTTATTTTCAAACAGTCTTTCAAAATCTCCTTATTTTATCTTAGTCTTATTTCACCTTTTTTTTATTTTTTTATTTACTTTTAATCTTGAACTTCATCTCTATTCAAACTCTACCGTTCAAAAAAAAGATAATTAAATTAGAAGATGCATAATTTCTATGGGATCGACCCTTACTTTCCACTTGCTATATTTTCTTTATATTTCTTTTGGGATTATGGAATTATTTTGACGCGAAAACGACTCGTGTCACTTGTACACTACACCTTCGACACTTTCTAAGGTGAGCAATTATAATCTATCAATTACTCATGGAAAATAGTACACCAAAAACCGTAAACAACAATATCAAAAACTTGTACATACAAGCTTTACACTTGGCCTTCCTCAACTTCTCCTCCACCTCCAACAATTTTGAACCATTACTTACACAACAATCTCTTTTGTATTTCAGAAATACTTGAGCAACCTTCAACTCTCGATTCTCTCTTAACAACATGTTATTTTCTGTCATAACTTCGAGAAGAATGCCTTTTTGTATTTATCTCAAACATCTTCATCAACTCAATGAAAGAAGATACATTCATCCTTCTGCATCACATTTCATAAAGTCCAATTAAAACAAAAGAATTAATCTTAAACCAATATGGACAACCAAAGAATAAATCATTATCACAAATTTCAAAACAATATAACATGAAGAAGAACTAACCTAGAACCAATTTCGACAATCAAAGAATCGTTGGCATTTGCTTAATTCTTTTATGGAAGTATGAATTACAACTTTCTTCCCACAATCATAGAAAATTTCTCAACATTTTCTTCCCTTTGAGTTTGAGGAATATGATGGCATCCTTTAAAACAATATAATGAAAAACAAGTTCAAAACAAATGAACAAAAACCTAAATACAAATCGAAAAGAACCCTAGAAACAAATTTTTGAAAATACCCAAATGAAGAACCCTAGAAATAAATTCATCAAAATACCCAAATGAAATCGAAAAGAACACTTGTTACATGAAATTTCAAAACACAAGCCTTGAATTGATTCTAAACAGGGAAAGAGTCCCAAATGCTATCATTGATTTCTCTTAAGAAAGCTCGTTGCAAATAGGGGGAAAGGAGACAATTTAATCCACGTGGAAAATAGGAGGGAAATAGGTTAAAAAAAATATTTTTAATTGACCACGTGTCAGTTTGTTAGTGGTCACTGGGTTCCACGTCATATTCTGTGACGGAAATGGGTGCACCTTTTAACGACAGAAAACACCATGTATATAATCGAGAATTTTTAAATATTATTTATGAAACTCAGAATTAGGTATAGTTCATGTATGAATTGAGTAATTAACCCATATTTAATCAATGTCTTCCCAAAATGTATGTTGATAACTTTATTTAATTCATTTAAATAAATAAAAATAGCGTGTGAATCGGCCTTCGATTATTTTTTATCTTTTAAGCATTTTTGTACATTAATGATTAAAATTATGTCCTTGTATATTTTATTTAAATTTTTTTTTATAGAATCTTCTAATTGTATTAAAAATAAAAAATAACATTTAATAAAGATATTTTCCGAAATACAATAAAACTAGTCACTTAAGAATTAAGATCACACAAAGATCATATAAGGAAAAAGTTAACAAACCTAATCAAATAAACTCGAACACAAGGTAGATACGAAAAGATGACAAATAAACCACAAAAGGAGATAAAACTATTGAAAGACCACGAACAAACAACAAATTGAAATCGAGCGATGTGAAAAATACTATCCACGAACTTAAATGGCGAATCTAAATCCAATTCAAGGGTCCAAATTAGAGCAGATCACCAAGATAACAAATAAACGCCATCTTGATCAGTCGTGAAAATGTAAAATCCAACCATAAAAAAAATAAACGAAAACAACGGTCAAACAACTAAAACGTGCCATAAATGCAGAAGAAGATGTGTCTTAAAGACAAAATTATTAGCAAAAATACAAATATACACTATATTAAAATAAAGGAAAAACAATGAATATCAGCAGTCGGTAACTAGCACCAAAACTAGTGCTGCCGTCGATTACAAAGATGAAGAAGACGGGGAGGGTTAATTAGAGATATATGAAAATAGGTATATATACACTATGTATGTATGTATGGGGTTAATTATTAATTTGATAGTTTATTCAAAATAGGTATATATGTATACATGACAGATGGATCAGGAGAAAGAAGACGAAGAGTGTTTTGGTGCAGTCATAAATTAAAACAGTTCAGTGAAGCAGAGATCAATGGTGGAAAATGTTAATGGCTGATGCTACTCTTCTAATCGTTGGAGTAACTCTTCTACGTATGTCTCTCTATCTCTCTCCCCTAGTAAAGGACGAATTAAATATTAAAATAATAATAATAATACATTAATTAATAATCTAAAAGATCCTAATTGAAGACACAAATGAATAAAACCTAAAAAGTTTATATATGTCAATAAAGTCTCATTAACCTAATTAGCTAACCTCTTTTTCTGTTTTAAAAACGAATAAAAAATCTCCAGTTTTGATCATCAAACTTTCATGCATGCACATACATTCTAACATATGTTCTTGTTTTGATCTAAGTGTTACTCAGGCTATTTAAGGTGTTGCACTATAGATTCGATTGGTAGGGAAAAATCAATGTTGATAATGCATTTTTTATCATTTTTAATTATTATCAACAGGAATAAAAAAATTCAATTATTGTACATTAATATATTTATAGTTTTTCAAGAAAGCAAAGATCCATTTCCATTGTCACTTCAGGCTATTAGTGGTATGAAAACTTGACTTTAAGATCGCTTTATGTTGTTTGTTCGTCTATGCTGTGAAAGTGAAAATTTAAAAAAAAAAAATAAGAAAATTAAAAAGGTATGGACATCAGAATATTGAATTTGGTTGTTTGGTTTCTGGAGCTTTGTAATGGTCTCTGACTCTGCTCCACAACATAAATGAAGACACATGGTAGCTTAAAGTTTGCATTGATTCATTCTTTTATACGGATTTAAATGCATAATGTTTAAGAGACACCATGGTTGTCTTATTTCAAAGCTCTAAAATTAGGTTACAGTGAGCCACGAATCGGGTGGTAGTCGACGAAGTTTCTCTTCATCTTCTTGTTGCTTTAACGTTTCATAAAGAGGAGCATTCCTAGTCTCAGGAAGCCATGTACTTAACGCTCCGCTCACGATTGAAAGAGCCCCAAATATAGCAAACGAGAGAGATGGACTCAGACGACCAACGACCACCAACAAAGGTGATAACGAAGCGCCTAGCATCAACGATTGCTGCAATAGCGACACTGCGAAATTCCTTACATTGGTGGGGAAAAGCTCCACACAATAAACATACAAGACATTAAACGCAATAGAAGAGGCCATAAAACCAATAGATTCGATTATCAGTTGAGGCCAACTGCTTGTACTTTTGGACCCATCATCAACCTTTGCTTTGCCTTTCGATGCGGTGGAGAATATGATGCAAAGAAGACACGAAATGCCGGCTAAAACCGCGGACAACAATAAAAGGAGACGTCGGTTCATGAAGCCCAATAACACGCCACCGATTAGAACAGCAGGAATATCCATCAGGGCATTAATTATAACAGTGACATAGAAATTGAAGTTGAGGTTTTGGGCGTTTAGTTGGATACCATAGTACACAAATCCAACCCCCAAAGCACATGCCATTATAGTAATCATCCTCCTAGCGGCCCATTTCGTGGTCCATATGCTTTCATTTATATCACCTTCAACGCCTATGCTTGTTGTTGCTGAAGATGCAAGTATAAGCTCTATATTGTTGGGTAATTCTTTTCCTCGCGCTAACTTTCGTAATACGTTGAGTGCTTCTTTGTTTCTCCCTCGTACAAGGAGCCAACGAGGTGACTCTGATACCAACAAGACTAAGAAAAATGTATAGACAAGAGGGGGAAGGGATATAATCCTATACATATACCTCCAATGGGCTCTTGTAGGATAGGCAATGAATGGGAGAGATAGGAAGCCAGCAGTGAAGAAAAAGAAACCGTATTGGCCTACTTGGCCTCGCCATTTACGGCCGACGACTTCTGTCGAAAGGACAAGACAACATATACCGGCTCCAGAACGGGAAAACCCGTTTGTGAATCGGAGAAGTGCATATATCCAAATGTTTGGCGAAAAAGAGGTCATGAAAGTTGTGGTGGAGGTTAAGATGCATGCCACCAATAATGTTTTCTTTCTACCTAACCATCCGTCCGCCAGCCGACCGAAGAAAGCACATCCTATGAAAAGGGAAACAATAAATGATCAATAACTAGTTTCCTTTCATTGAGTTATAGTTTTAACTTTCAAGTAACAATATAATTTTTCATGCATAGAAAGAGTTATGATTATAAAAAATTGATACTTTGGGTGGTCGAGTTTAGGTTTATACTTGACACTTTTTAGCCTTGGCCCAACCATGGACACCCACACTCACATATTCAATGATTCAATTATATCATATATCCTCGAACTATGATTTAATTTTTAAATTCATCTTAAAATTTTAAAACATTTTAATTGAGTTATCGAAGTCTTATTAATTTATAAATCTAGCCATTAGTTTGGACGTTAAATGTCCATCCAAATTTAAGGTGAAGTTTATTTAAAATACCTGAATACGTATTGTGTGAATAAAAAGAATCTGACAAATAAAACTAATTCTTTTAGATTTTATCGACACTTTCTTTTAATAAGTTGGTTCGAAGCTATCATTCAGTAGGTACACATAAGAACAAAGTCATACTTTCATAGATCAAAATTGATTTTTAAAATTGTGTGTAGGGTGTGTGTTGGGGGTGGAGGGGGGAAGTATAATATTAATATAGGACTATATTATAATATCACCGTTGTTTAAGGCACCAAATAAAACATTTCTCATTTTTAGGCCCAAGGGCACTACTTGTCCCTCACGTTACCACTGCGTATACATATTTATAAGTTAATCCACATATTTTAAATATATTTAACATCAAAATTAAACTACTTTAAATGTTTAAATTGATAAAGGAGTATAGTTTATATTATGCTTATATTTTAAAGATTTAGTTAAAACATTTTTGAAGTTTAAACAGTACTATACAATTCGAATAGTCCATACCGAAAATTGTGCCAATGAAGAAGAGAGAAGCCGGAATAGCAGCAAGAAACTTGCGGTCGCAGATAAGATTCCACTCGGCAATAGTGGACGTGGTAGTCCCTCCAACCCACTCCCAAGTCCCGGCTGCCAATCCGCAAACATGACTCGGTCGGCCTTTGCCGCCACCGCTAGCGTTGTTGATGCAGCAAGACGAGGATACTGATGCATTAGTGTGGTGATGGTCAAGGCTCTTGCATCTCCAAGCAGTTGGCTGGGCATCAGTAAAGATGGTGACTAGGGTGTTTTGGGAATCAAATACCCATGCAAATGACACTAATAACACGTGCAGCAGCTGGGATAACCCCAGGGATCCCACGTATCTGTCTATCACATCATCCACACTGAGCTGCAACTTCACTTCAGCTGCTGCTGCTGCGTGTGAAAGCTCTTCTACTTCTCCACCTTTGTCCATGCCCCTCACCTGCAACAGGATTTTTATGCTGCACCCAAGTGTTTCTTCCTGCTCCCTTAATATATGAACAAAATCAATGCCGGTTTCTTAAAGAAGAAGGGATTGAAAATGAATCGAATTGTTTTAGTGTCCATCACCACTAACTAAAGGAAGAAACGTGTTATATATATTATATTTTAATGAACGGTGAGAATTGTGTAGAGTTTGAATTAACAATTAATTAAATGCTAACTTACTATTAACGATGATTCACGAATGAGAATTAGCATGATAAAAAACCGATCATTTTTTAAAATGTTAAATAATAAAATAGATATTAAAACTATCATGATTCTATATAAAAAAAAAAAAATCGACTCTTATATACGATTCCTTAGCGTAGGGCCCGAGACAAGATCAGTGGTGGTGGATCGTAGCACGCATAGCTTATTTACACAATGCGCGCCACTTAATTGATACGGATTATTAGTATCTAAATTAGGATAAAGTATATAAATGATTCTGTAATCTATTGTTTTGTTAATTAAAAGTTACAAAATGATCATTTGACTATATAACATTGTTTTGTTGTGTCTATCTACAATTAAAAGTTACAAAATGATCACCTGACTATTTATATATTCTAAACTTGTCCTTTTTCCGTTAAAAAAGTGATAACAGTCTGAGCTGGAAGTTAATATGTTGAGTGAGATATGATAGTCATTTGAGATTTTTGGATCATATTTTATTATATCACAGTCAGCAAGTTATTGTATATCTTAGACTGCCATCAAGTTTTTAACGAAAAAAGACGAATTTGGAAGATATAAATATTCGGATGACTATTTTATAATTTTTAATAGTCTGAGACTCGACAAATTAAGCAACGTCTTATAGTTGAGGAACCATTTGTGTACTTTATCTCTAAATTATTATTTATTAATAAATTATTGCCACTATAATGGAATTCGGTCATCAGAACATATTCGGCAGCTGAGGAATCGATACCAGCTACAAAAGAGGAAGATATGCCCTAAAAGACCATGCAAGAAGTAGATTAGACAATTATTGATGGCTAAAGCCGGCGTGCATATGGATGGTGTCTCTAATTGCTATTCGACGAGGCAATCCAAGTCCAATTTCAATCCTTCTTTTTTGTCACCAAATCATTAAAAAAGACTACCTAAATTCACATTTCTAGTCATTCAATTACTTGTTTTCTTGTCATCTAGTCATACCTAACTTATTTACACAATGTGCGCCACCAAATTGGTCTAACCAAAGATGAGTTTGGTAAATCAACGGGTTGGTTCAAGTCATTGTGTATCTATCGAAACGGTTTTTTTCCGGGTGAGATTTTGGAAACCACACCAATTTTTAATTCTTCAGATTAAATTTAAATTAAAAGTGAATGTGATTAAAAAAACCTCTCGTTTCGAAAATTTGGAAATTACTTTATGATAAAAATACGGTTCGAGGAGTCGCCACCAATCTTTAATTAAGGTGTGATTGGGCACCCAAAAACGTTTTGTCATTTTAAATAAAAATTAATTTTAATTAAAACAATAAATTTAGGTTTGCGTTACCAGAAAATGAGTTCGGGAGTCTGTTACACGTGGGGAAGGATTAGCACCCCCACAGTGCCCTAAATAGGTACCTAGTCGATTAATTAATTGTCTTTGCAATAAAATGTACAAGTTCAAAATTAATTTGATTTATGATCCCCTAAAATAATATTTTTCGAAATTTTGGATGAAAGAATAATAATATTTAATTATTTCTTATCGAGAAGAAATGATCTATCAGAAGCAATCGATTCTTACTCCAATCGAAATAAAAAATATTAAAATTTCATTCTAAATTTCAAAATAATAACACCCAAAATAATTTTTAGAGATAAAATAATAATATTTAATTATTTATGATCGAACATTATTATTTTGAAAACCTTTTAAAAACACATGCAAAAGTAAAAAAAACTATCAAGCAATTGATTAATTATTAATTTACCAATATTTAATGAGAATAAGGGTATTCAATTAATTAAATATCAAGAGACGAGACCATAGATTCGATCTAACTGTCTTTTCTCGATGAATTTAATTAAAAGAATACGATCTTTCCCTCAGTCCTTAAATTTTAAAAAATCAATATGTTTTGATTGGTGTCATTTATAGGATAGACTTTCATTTTAAAATTATCGAAAGTAACTTTCTTATACGTTAAGACAGTCACTTTACGACAATATTAAAATGCTCGAATATTACCCTTAGTCAATTTATTTCAATTCAAGTCAAGTAATGCTCATGAGGCTATCATGCAAATTATGCAAAAAAGATGTTATGTAAAAATATTTAAACACCACAAATTATATACCTTATAACTTATATATATATATATATATATATATTAATATATAATGTACGAAAGTGACTTAAAAAAACATATTAACTTCAAAATACAAATTTCACGAAATAACTATATTTAAGGATTAAACCATATTAAATAAAATATTACTATTTTTAAATACAAACAAAGTAAGAATTAAAGTATACATGCAGATATTAAATGGTCAAATGTATGAAGAAATAAATCAACCTTTAGGACCTAAAAAGAAACATGTAAAAACATAGAACTCTAATGTCTAAATGACAAAAACAAAATAATCAACATTTGTGACTAAAATTAAATAAACATGCAATACAAAGACCAAATCAAAACACAACAAATTAAATTTAAAGGATAGAACACCAATTAATCAAAATTACACGCCAAATGCATACACAAACAAAAATAACATAAATTAATGACTAAAATAAAATAACAGAAACTATAGTGTTAAAATCAAGAAAACATATATATTCATATGTTGGAATGAAAAACACACATAAAAGTTCAGGGATTAAGTATAAATTATACCAAAAATACATAACATGTGTCATAAATGATTCACCGGCCATCATGTTACTGCACTGCCGTGCCACCGTCCGATTGTCCTGAAATTTCAGTATGCTGTTCGTGTTGACATCACACAACTTTTGACCGTTCGGAATATTGATCGGGGGTTCCGATCACCGGCGAGAGGCCAAATATCGTCTGGATTTGTTTTCTCCGATTCACCACCGTCTACCGTCCGATCGTCATGAAATTTCAGTATGCTATTCGTGTTTACATTACACAACTTTTCACTGTTTGAACATTGATCGGAGATCCTGATCGCCGGCAAAAGGCTAAAAACCGTTCGAATTATTTTCTCCGATCTGCCGTCGTCCACCATCTGATCGTCCTGAATTTTCAGTATGTTGTTCGTGATGGTCTCGCGCAACTTTTGACCGTTCGGACCATTTGGAATGTTAATCGGAGATCCCGATCGCAGGCAAGAGGCCAAAAACCGTTCAACTTATTTTCTCCGATCCACCGCCGTCCATCGTCTGATCGTCCTGAATTTTCAGTATGTTGTTCGTGATGGTCTTGCGCAACTTTTGACCGTTCGGAATGGTGATCGGAGATTCCGATCAACGACGAGAATTCGACAGAATCACTGAAGCCTTTTTTCCTTTTCTCTCTCCCCTCTCTTTGGCTCCCCTGGTGATTCTCCGACCTCCCACGTTTTGCTCCCCTGATATAACATATTTTTTTGTTCCTCCATATTGGCTCTTCCACTAGTGCCCAAATAATGGTGTTTGAGTGGGATTTTAGTGGATTAAGTTTGGTAATGGTAGGATATAATATTTAGTGGTTTAAGTGGATTTTTGTGTGGGATTTGAAAATAAAAATGAATGGGATAGTGGTGGGGTTTGTGCTTCACGTGGGGTATGGGTTGTTGGGTGCAGCGATTTGGAAAGTGGAGCACAGGTTTTAAAAATATGGTGCTCACAATTGGGGTAGTGGGAAATGGTGGAAAAATGAGGTGTCTACAGTATCCAGAAAATTTTTATTGGGAGACTCACCTATTAAAGTTAGGTGTGCGACGTGAGTTGATCCGGATCAATAAAGACCAGAACCCTAAGAATTAAGAGGACAAAAAAAAGAGTTTGGTAAGATAAAACGAACAATAATATCATCACAAGCCAACTCAAATATGACTGGAAGCCATCCTTAATTATTTGGCCTCAAGCTTGCAAGTCCTATAATTCCTTTATTTATTTTACAAATACAAGATTAATGAATTCTTAATTTAAAATAGAAATAGAACTTAAAAAAAGGATGCTATATAATTTACAAAGATAAAGAAATATATTTAATTTCTCATTTTTATAACATTTTTTATATTTGTTATGTAAGTTTATGTTTGAGATTTGTAGCTTGATGTCCTTCGCTCTTTTGTTTTTGAGCTTTGTTTTCCATGTATAATAAGTTTGGCAAAACTACTAGTAACGCAGCTTTGCAATTAGACGGTTATTAGGATATAGGGTTTGTCATAACCATTTTTTGACGAACGAGTAAAGTTTTCAATAAAAACCTCGAATTTACGATTTATTTGGGAAAAATTGAATTGAGACTTATTTCTAAAAATTAATTATGACTTTATTTGAAAATTTGAGATTTTTAAATTGAGACTTTATTTGAGTCGCCAAACTGTAGTAACTTCTTTTTTGACGAATGAATAATTTTTCGATGAAAGTCCTAAATTATGACTTATTTGGGGAAAAATGAATTTTGGTGTTTATTTTGATTAAATTGATTTGGAGTTGTCATCGACCTTTGGTTAGGTAGGTCGAACACCTAAAACGTCTTTTAAACAATTTTAAGAAAAATCATTGTTAAGACAAAAAACTGGTCTGCGCTTATCAAATATTCATTTTAGGTTCAGGAGTCGATTACGCGTGGGGAAGGGTTAGCACCCCCACAATGCCCAAAAATTGGTACTTAGTCGCTTATATGTTGTCGTAATGGTGGAAATTATAAATTCGAATATAAAAATTAAATTATTATCCTTTTATTGAACATTGACTAATTTGTTTCAAATTATTTAATAAAGAACATTCCATATTTTGAGAAGAGACCACAAGGTTTGCACTCCAACTACTAGGAATGCTATACCATCGATTTCTTCTCTATAAAAGAATGCCCTCTCTTTATTCATGGTAACCATAATACATAAGCCGAATATTCGTGCGATTCAATGTCTGATAAAATAA